ACATATACATATACATATACATATACATATACATGTACAGACACATATACATATGCATATATAATAATACATACATACATACATACATACATACATACATACATACATACATACATACATACATACATATGTTTATATATATATATAGTATATATGTGAGGCTGCGTTTGTGTGTGCAAGAGAGTGCGTACGTCTGTTTGTCAGTCAGTCTGTCTGTCTGCGGGCCTGTCTGGCTGATCGTCTGAAACATCCTATGTTCCTAAACCCTGAACCCTGAATCCTGAACCCCAAACCCTGAAACACCCTAAACCCGAAACCCTGAACGCTGAACTCGAAACTCATCCTCCATTGCGAACTCAGGTTCTTCGGAGTGTCGGCAGGACCATTGACCGGCACCGTTTGTTGTCTTTAAGGTTTAGGTTTTGCGGCGTTACTCGTAGGGTTGGTTTAGGGTATAGGGTTTCAGGTCTAGGATTTACGGTTCTAGGTTTGGGGTCTAGAGTCTAGAGTTTGAGGTTTAAGAGTTTACTGTTAGGGTGTCGGGTTTAGGGTTTAATCAGAACACAAGACCCTGATCTCTAGAGGACGAGACTACGAGCCTGCTCCCTAAACCCTAGACCCCAAAACCCTCAACCCTAAACCCGAGACCCCAAAACCCTAAACCCTAAACTCCTGGAGGACGAGACTACGAGTCTGGACTACTTGATATGGCTTTTGCACCCTTCGGCGCGCTCTTGCGCTGGTGGCGCCTTGCATTCTGACGATGTAGGATGCATAGTCTCCCGGGCTCTAGGAGGTAGGGTTTCTCGGGCTTAGGAGGTTTAGGGTTTAGGGTTTAGCCCCAAGGCATAAACCCAAAAGAGCTGGTTAAGGAAAGTTCGTGCTTAGCTTGTCCATTCAGGCATATCGAGTTCTTGACACCCTCCGCTCTGAATGCTAGGAATGCCTAAACACTGCACGCCCTGACTGAACCCTCGGTCCTTGGAAATCCACGTGTATCTGGCACATGCGCCTATAGATATACTGTATATGTATATATAACGACGATCTGATATGCAGCCTATCTAGACCCGACGTATTCCATCCATCGATTCTCCAAGCAATGGCACCTCCTGCCCGAATTACAGTTCTACTATAAACCCGGTATTCTCATCAAGCCTAATAACCAATCCGAAGCAACACTAAAGCTAGAAACCGTAAGCCCTAGAATCCTGAAGCCGTAAGCCTGAAACCCTAAGCCCGAAACCCTGGTGCGTTGTCCGAGGCTTTCGCTGTTCAACAAGTACACAGCGCCGTGGGGATGCCCAGAGGGATGGAGCAGGGGCTGTGGTGAGAGGGTTTAGGGTTTAGGGTTTAGGGTTTAGGGTTTAGGGTTCATAGTTCCCCAGTACAGAGCTCGTCTGGTTCCCTGGGGCAGCCTGTAATTTGGAAGCCTGAAAACTTGGCAGGAATAGTCCCTTAGAGTCAACAAGAGTCCCAATATAAGCATAATATAATGTACCCCTAAAGCCCTATTCTGATCATTAAGGTCCCTACAGCAAGCCTTCCAGGTTCCCTCTCTTCACCCTGATCGCAAACACACTCGGCTGTCTCTGCAATGCCCTCGGCGGCGTCTACGAGGACCCAAGAAGATTCAACATCATCTGTGGTCGGAGGTCTGTTGGGTATTGTAACAAAAACTGTAGTCTGTCTTGTAATGCCCCTGGATGAGGCCTAGGGCCTAGGGTGCAACGTGGGGATTGCGGTTTAGAGCTGAGAGGCAGAATCCACAAGCGGGTTGACGAACAGGGGGTATCGGTAGGGCTTACTGTAGGGTAGGCGTAGCACGGAATATAGTAGGGAATCCCAAGCCTAATTCTTTTTGAAGACAACCCATGTACCCTAAACCATACACCCCCAAACGCCTAAACCCTAAACCCCATGCCTGAGGCAGTACGCACAGGGTCCGTGTGCCTATGTGGTAGACATGGCCTTCAAGCGTCCATATCAGAACGCACGCATCTGAGGCCAAAAACGCCTGAATCCTGGGCCCTTCGGGACCATGATAGTGCCCCCAGCTAGAGAACCGGCTGGGATATGTCCGACACCAAACCCCCCTAAACCAGCCCTTGAGGAAGCATGACTATACCCTTCATGATGGAACTCCTTGGGACCAAGCCCCGTAACATCCGAAAAGCGGATCCGAGTGACCAGGCAGTAAGCGTTGCCCTGAATGGCGTGCTTTGTCAGGGTTTCTTATCGTGAGTTCTTATATTTTAAGTCCTTGAAAAGGTAAGTGAGTAGGGGGTTTAGACACAATGTGGACTTAGACCCAAAACCGTACGATTTGGAGTTGTTTTTTCGGGAAATGCTAAACCTGAGCGAGCTTTAAAAAGCTCCCAAACCCCAAGCCCGACAAACCCTAAAACTCCTAAACCCTGAGCCTCAAGAACCCTCACAGCCCTAAGCCCCAAACCCGAAAAACCCCAAACCAAAAAAACAAACGAACCCTAAACCCTACACCCTATAAACCCTTTAGAACCCCCTAAACCCTACACCCTATAAACCCTTTAGAACCCCCTAAACCCTACACCCTATAAACCCTTTAGGAACCCCTAAACCCTACACCCTATAAACCCTAAACCCTAAACCCTAAACCCTACACCCTAAACCCGTAAACCCTAAACCCTAAACCCTAAACCCTATAACCCCTTCAGAAAAAAAGGGGCGAAGTATCGCAGGCCCGGGCCTCTTCGGAGTTGGGGCGCGCAGCCCTGGCAGCGCTGAGCACGGGCTTCGCCGGGAGCCTCTCCACTGTCGGAGCCTTGGAGAAGCTGTGCTTAAAGGCTTTAGGGGTTTTAGGGTTTGAGGGTCTTGAGAGTTTTTAGGGTGTTTAGGGTTTTGAGAGTTTTTAGGGTTTTCTACGTGTTTTCAGGCTTTAGGGTCGGTTTACCTGGACTTGGACCCCAAAAGTATGTAGAATTATAGGGATTTCGGCATTAGGATTCAGGGCATCAGGTGTTGAAAGGGCAAAGGGTCCAGGGTTTCGGGGTTTGGGGGCTCCGGGGTTTAGGAGGTTAGGGTTTAGGGTTTAGGGTTTAGGGTTTAGGGTTTAGCCTAAGGTTTAACAGCTACTGTTGTGTATGGTGATGTTGACGATACAAAAGTATTAGTGTCTTTTTACCACTGTGTACCATCTATCTGCCTATCTAGCTATCTATCCATATATATATATATATATGCATAGATAGATAGACAGATAGATAGATAGATAGATAGATAGCGCGAGCTTTGTTGGCGCCGGGGGCTGTCAGGGGGCCACGGAACTCAGCTTCGGTTATACGGCTCTAGGTTTATAGTGTTTAATGTTGTCATTGGTCTGTTGTTGTTTTTTGGTTGTGTTTTGTGTTTTGTGTTTGTGTGTGTTTGTCTGTCTGTTTGTTTGTGTGTTTGTGTGTTAATGTGTCTGTTTGTCTGTTTGATTGTTTGATTGTTTGCTGTGTTTGTTTGTTTGTTTGTTTGATTGTTTGTTGTTTGTTGTTTGTTTGTTTGTTTGTTTGTTTGTTTGTTTGTTTGTTTGTTTGTTTGTTTGTTTGTTTGTTTGTGCAAAGGTTTTTGTTTAGGGTGTCAGCAGTAAAAAGCTTGTTGATTGCGCTGTCTTACTTTGTGTAGGGATTTTGGGGCTTTCTGCTATCTGTTCATGTTAAACCTGTCCTTTGGAGGTTAGGGAGTTAGGGCCTTCCGGGTTTGAGGATTGCGGATGTGTTCCTGGGATAGTACCGGGTTTTCGCGATCATGTTCCAGGTTCTTAAGTTCCAGAGCTCTCTTCTAGGATTCTTGTGAGGGGGCTTGGCACTTGCGTCAAAGCAAGAATTCTTGCAAGGGACCCCTACTCTAGACCCTAGGTCCTAAGCGCTGGGATAGTATTCATAACCACCTCAGGGCTCCTGTACCAATAGCTCCAATGACCCTGCACCCTAAGCCTACCTCTCTACGGGAGTACGGAGGGTAATCACAACAAGGACCCCCCACTGCCTAGGGTCTCGGGTCTACAGGCTTAGGGTTAGGCAGGGTTTACGGTTTAAGGCTTAGGGTCCATAGTGAAAGGTACTTTGGTTTTGCATTGGAGTTTAGTTCGTGGGTTCAAGTGCAAAGGCCTGGCGTTTGTGCATTCGGGCCTGAGGCGTCCAAGTGCGCAAGCAATCGCAAGTCTAAACCTTGTCTAGAAGCTAAATGAGCAGGGCAAAGCACCCGGAAAGAAATCCCACTCACCAGACGCAGGTGTCCACTCTCATCAGTGAGCTGCGCAGTGACACGCTCGGCGGACTGCGCCTACGCATCTCGGACCGTCCTTGAGGGTTTATTGCTTGTGCGCTTGCGGGATCTCGAGTTTATAGGGTTTAGGACTTCGAACTATAGAATCCCTATATCATCTGTGGTTTCTTTAATCTTGGGCTTCCTCTAAGTCTAAAACTCGGTTTGTGGGGGGTGTGTGATGAGCATGTGAGTTTGGAATCCTCAGGTCTCAGGCTGTCCATCTGGAGCTGGAGGATTCTTATAACTCAGCTTCAGCACGAACAGGAAGTAAAGACACCTCGGTAGAAGACCCGAGCTGTTGTCGTCCAGTTTCTATTCGAGGTAAGGTCAGGAAACCGCAAGTATAAGCGCAGAAACTGCCACCTCTCAAAGACCAAGCCCCTTTGTGCATTCGGGTAGTTCTCTAAACGAGGGTCCATTTTAGAGACGTTTCTATAAGGGTGCCGTACCATATTATATATTGGGGACCTACAAATCGCCGTAATTTAGAGAACTGCCTGTTTCCAGGCAGCACATACTTCCTCGTGCGCGACTCAGATCTTGCCTGCTCACGAGCATGTTCACCCCGACTTTTCTACCCATGTCGATGAACTACTCTGATCGGACTCCGCCAGCAGTCGCAGCAGTTGTAGCAGTAGCTGTGGTGCCCGTGGTGCTGGTGGCCCCAGTCGTACCCAGTGCCGTTGTCGTAGTCGATGTTGTAGTAGTAGCAGAAGAAGCAGTTGTAGTTGTTGTGGTCGTCGTCGCCGTAGTAGTAGTAGTCGTCGTCGTCGTCGTCGTCGTCGTCCTCGTCTCCGCCGCAGAGATGGTAGTCTTCGTCGTTTGCGCAGTCATGGTAGTCGTCGTCGTAGCATCAGCAGTAGCAGTAG